CTCATCCGTGTTGACCTGTGTGTTTATGTGTGCGTCTATGTGTGTACATGTTATGGTTCTGGCAGGCAATGTGCACAAGCTTGAGAGTCTTTCAGAACGGGCGGGGTGGGTGAGCTGGCCGGGGGCAGGGTGGGAGGTGGACAGAGAGATGACGAGGAGGAAAGAGAAGAGATGGGCTCCTTTCCATGATGGACGCACCCATCAGCCGATCAGCCCTGGGCTCCTTCAAGAAAGGATGCAGAGGATGCTGCCACCTGAGAGAAAATAGAAGGACGATACTGTTTAAAGGGAAAGTCTGCATTTCTCGCCTCTCGGTTGTACATCAATGTGAAAAAAAAGTTGCAACTAAAAAAAGTTGCAAGAATATTTTTCACAAAGTATTCTTGGTGAAGTATAAGGAGTTTTTTTGGTGGACAATTAACATATGCCTCTTCAGCTGGTCAACATTAGGCCCCCTGGTAGATCAAGGAATCAAGGAGCAAACAAGCAACAGCAACATAAGAATAAAATAAATATAATAAAACTGACATTGATGCCTGACAACAACAAAGCATTAGGTAAGAAATTCTCTGTGTACTTCAACCTGATACAATATTTTGCCATACCCACTACTTCTGAGGTTATTATAGCAAATATTCTTAAGCAAACCATTGTTTTTAGACTCCCATGTTTAGTAGCACAAAAAAAATTCAAAATTGCAAGAAAACCTCTATTGCTCTATTGGCTGTACTCTGCTTTAGTCAAATACTTCTGACTCACTACTACGGTGCACCTGCTGACCCTTTTCTGCAGCTCAATTCCTATGTTTCAATGCATTGTTGCTTAGCCTTCTTTCCATGTCTGAGTTTGGCCTTTTTTTAGCAAAATTTCCTTCATCAGGTCCATGTTTACCCAGACTTCTCTGGAGAGTAGATTGGTATAACAACTTCTACAGTACTTCTTGGTCTGCTGCCTGATGTAAGCTGATATTGCTGCTGGAAATTATGCATTTCAGAGAAAGGTTCTAAAAACCTATGAGCCTCCTTGTTGCTTTAAACCAGGCAACCTTGGGGTCACAACCCCGTGTGGAGTCCCATGGAATTCAAATTTAAATCTTTTCGGAGAATTTTGGATTTGTCACAAAAAAAAAAGATTTGAAACACATATTAAACAACTGGGTTTTTTTTTTTTGTACCAATAAATAATTGTTTTTTTGTACTATTTAGACATGTCCATTCTAATCATGTCCAAATAATCATGTCCAACTAATCATGATTAATTTACAACAAGACTGTGAATAATCAGATATTTAATGCCTTCACTATCCTACACCTGACCATAACTACTATATTTGTTTAAGTATTTTAACAGAGTGCCTAAATAACGCACTGAAAATTGTACCTGCTATCTCGAAATGTATGTGTAGGTGCGGGAGGGAGACCGTCCCTCTGACTGCCCGTTGGTTGAGACGTTCAAGAAGTCCCAGATCAGAATGGTGTCGTCATGAGAACTGCTGATGATTTGAAACTCATCAAACTGTAGACGGAACACGCGACCAGAATGCTCCTGGAGACAACAAGACATTTCATGAATAAGTTTTAGAAAATGTTACACATGCAGACAGAACATAAAACTCTAAAAACACAAATGTTTGAGACGTCGCCACCGTGGCTGAAATAGAGAGAAAAACTGTTGCCGCTGTTGTTTTGCTTCCAACTTAAGTGTTCAGTAGCTTTTATTTATTTATTTATTTGTACAAGCCCACAATTCTGTCCAACAAAACAACCACACAAAAAATTAACATTTTTCCATCAGAGTTTCCTTTGGATCTAAGCAGAGAGGCACACATCGGGCACAAGTGACAAGCAGCAAGTTTCTGGCTTCACTTAAGCTTTTGGTTTGTTGTTCGATTTCTTTTTGGACTTTATCTTTTAGCTTCTAAGAATGTGTTCTATTTGCAGGACTTCCCCCTGGAGTCCAAAACAAACATTACATTCATGAGACTAAAGCTAAAGAGAGTGCATGCATGTGAATGTGTCAATGTTTGTTTGTCTCAGCAGGACTAGGATTTGCCTTGCTTTTGTCTAATATCCCCCCCAAAAAAACCCTTTCCCCAGCACGTTTTCCTCACTTAACTTTATGAGCTACAGATTGGTCAAAAAAAGACAGACAAAAAGAAAGACAATGGATAAATCAATAGCTAATTTGCATTTTAGTACTTGGTATTGTTTACCTAAAACATTTGTTTATTACATTTTACATTTGTTCTTCTTGCATCATTAATTAACTAATGTGAAAATCAATGCATTTAAAGTAGAAAATGTTATAGCAAATGTTAAATAAAACCATTAAAATCCCATTGTTAAAAAGGTACAACATTTGGATTTTAGCCCTGTCATTAAGGAATACACAAAATTACTCACCACAAGAGTGCGCAGACATAATGTGCTTGCTGGGGCTCGTGGGTCCAGGGCTGCCTGCAGGTCCCACACCTTAATTTTTCTGCAGAGTAAAGGATGAGTTGACAGAATGTCACAAACAAAGTAAGTCCTTGAGGAAAAAAAAGGCGTTTGGTTACAACAACCTACCCATCGTAGGCGCCGCTCACAATCCTCTTGTTGTCAAAGCGGATGCAGCGCACCAACTCCTCGTGACCTTCCAGAACTCGCAAACAAGCGCCACATTCAATATCCCATAACCTGAAAACAAAAGAGAGCAAAATGTATTCAAGTATAAATATGTATATTTTCAATACAAATCAACTAAGAGTTCAAACAAACTGCTTCACAGGCCAAAAATCTGCTTCAAGTTCAGGTATCACATACCGGATTGTGTTGTCAGACGAGCCACTAACGACAAGGCGATCTCTATACTGTAGACAGGCGATACCCCGCTTGTGACCATTTAGAGTGCGGACAAACTCGCAGGTGCTGGTGCTCCATACCTTCAAGGTGAGGAGGAGAGAGACAGCTTTGTTGACTTATGTGGGTGGAAACAACAACACAGTCCTTGTAAAAACCAAGTAAATACTGTAGAGGGACTGAGAGTGGCCATAGTTTCTACACCTGCCATCAACAGCTTTCCTGCATCAGAAAGTTGCCATTACCTATGAGATGGGACTTTTGCCCATGCTTTAGTTCAGGTGAGATAGGATTAGGATGAAAAATATGTATGTAATCATGGTGTAAAATCATCCTATTGTTTATTACTATTTCTATGTTTTATCTGCATTATTAACTCATCTGTATGCGAAAATGAGCAGTGCATTAACGCTGTTTATGTCCATGTTGTTAAATGTTGTTAAATAAAACATATCAACAATACCACAGTCTACTGTGTTGTTAAATAAAACATATCAACAATATAACATTATTTGCACAAGCTCTGATACTGTGAAGAGAAGCAGCAATGGCTGGTTTATGTTTTATGCCTGTTCTGTTTATTTCATGTAGGAATCCCATACAGTCAAAGTCAATTAATATTGACTACTCTTATTATATATTATTATATATAATATATTAATATAATATTAATATATATTAATATATTATTATTATATTGACTACTCTTGTACTCATTTATGCGATCATTACATTTAATAGCAACAAGTCAAAAGTAATTTAATACATTTTAACCTTTCTCCTTGTTGAATAAATAAACAGGAAACCCTTAAGTTGTACACAAGTGTACACAAAAATAGTTTTCTTTTTTTCTTTTTACTTGTTCTACTGTCGCCTCAGCAGGTTTTTACCTTAATGGTGCGATCGCCAGAAGCAGACACAATGTATTTGTCATCAAAATCGACCACATTGACAGCGGCCCTGTGTCCAACCAAGACCCGACGGAGGCTGATGTCTGTGGGTGAGGCCATGTCCCAAACTGCAATCGAACGGTCTTTGGAGCAGGTGACCATCAAGCCGTTCGCAAAGCGCAGGTGAAGCACAGCTTCATTGTGGTGGATAAGTGTGTTTAGTACCTCACCGGTCATTACCTCCCACACCCTGCAGAGTTGAGTTGACACAGGAGCAGGACGGCGAGAGAAAACAGGACATAGAAAACAGAAATAGTGAGATTTTGCAGCACAGCCAATTCACAAAAGCACAGTTCAGAGGACATTTAAAAAAAATATCAGGATGGAAAGAAGGATAAGGATGCCTTGTGAAAGGGGATGGGTTGAGACAGGGTGAAGGAAGGAATGACAAAGGGGTGAGTGTGGAAAATGACAGGGGTGGCAGATGTGAAGGAAAGAAAAATGAGAAGAGGAGAGCGTGGAGAATGAAATAATAGATGGGAGAGTGGAAAACACGTGGTGGGAGACAATGTGACACATGTGAAACATTTCTGTTTATTAGTATTCCAATAACGAGTCACTCGAATTCCCAAATGTGTGGGCACTCGCATGCACCCGCCTGAAGCTGTGAAAAACATGTTTCTGAACCAATCTGCTAGTCACTGAGAGTTAAATGCAGAACACAGTGGAAAGGCTGACAACTGAACCTACAAACAAAATGCCTGTCAAGTAGTTTCTAAGGAAGTGCAGTCACATTTTCCTTGGATTATTCCCAGTAAGTAAGGCTGAAGTGTGAAGTAATGAGAGAATTAATGGTGAGCTTCTGTGTGCAGTAGCCAAGCAAGTGTCAACATACACCCACAAGCCAGCTCTATAAATGAAAGCAATAAAACATATCCCATTATCTCTAGCTGTGGCAGTAAATACTATTCATTTTGAATTATTAACTCAAGTTTTCTGTGAGAATGGACTTAATGACCCACAGAAAAACAGCTTGTGAGTGGAAATTAATTGTTTACAATTGTTTATGACTGGAGAAAGAGACTAGGGTTATTGGGTCATATGACTGATAAGATAGATTCTAATTTAAGTACTTCATGTGCAGTAAGTTTGGATTCTCTTGCCAACTTTTATCAAGCCTATCTGCAGTGGGGTCTGTGCCGATACAGCTATATTGCCTACTGTTCAGGTTGGTAAGGTCTCTGAATGTTAATTCCCCCTAATTACCAGGAGGGGACGTGGCTGGTGGAGAATTCCAATGGAGTAACAAAAAAAAAAACACTGCTTTTCACTTGATTTGTCATGAGTGGAGACATTTATGGTGTCAGGTTCCCATTCTTCCATTATAAATACATCATATCAATTTTGTATTCACTAATTTCAGCAGTCTGGTTGTTATTGTCTAATGGTCTAAAACCAGAAAGATAAGGCAACCTTTGGGTAGTATTTAAAATTGTATGCTCCACATAGAAGTTTTTTTTTTTCTAGTGCAATACACCAGAGACAACATTAATAAGGTGTGGTGCATTTTGGGTAACAAAGGTCACCCACTTCCCACAACTACCAAAATCATTTAGTTTTAAGTAACTGCTTTAAATTCTTAAACATGCTGTTACAAGATCATTTGATTACTACTTCTAAACCCAGGTTTTATTTTGAAGAATGACTATCATACCTGACGGTTGAGTCAGATGACCCAGTGACGATGACCCTCTCATCATACTGCAGACACAACACTGAGCCTGTGTGACCGGTCAGTATCTTTAGACACTCGAGAGTCTGCTTATCCCAGATCTGTGGTGAAAAAAACAGGAGGATTCATGAAACACAGTGGGATGTTAGCAGAGGAGCCGTTTTTAAAAGGGGTTACAGAACTAGGTCACGTTAAGAATGGCCCATTCTCACAGCTGAGTTCATGCACTGTTCATGGCCCATTTCCCCACTGCTGTGCTGAGCTCGGTGTGTGGTCATATATGAGTGCACTTGAGAGGCATTCAGTTCTTCTCTAGGTGTGTGCCAGCCTCCTGCAGAACAATAACAAATGCTGTTTCCTCCCCTCCCTTCATCCGTGCATCCTCCCCTCCTCTTCATCAACTTCTATCCTCCCAGACCAGACAGATAAGTAGACCACACAACTGTTCTGGAGCAGAGCCATTCAAACTGATAACTGGAACAGTATTGATTATACTATCACTTCAAGGCCTTACTTTCATTTCCCAACAGTCATAGCAATTGGCTGTGAGGAGTTAAATAAAAAGGTCAGATTTCACACCCTACTGCTTCATTATACCACATCACATGTTCACCGATGTTACTAGGAATTAACTTTTGCTTCTTGAATCCTCTACCTTACCACTAGTGTTAACAGTGAGTTACGTCAACTTAACAGATGAAATACATCATATTGCATGACAAGAAAGATCTACGAATGCAAACACATTCGCTCAATGGAGCTCTTTCCTCAGGGCCAGTGGGTGGGAATGCACAGTGGCAAAGAATAAAACAATAAAGAAGCGCTGGCATGTGTATTGAATTGTCTGTCCCAGATATTTTACACCAAGATCCACATACCTTTATAGAATTGTCCCTAAGGCCACTGATGATCTTGTCATCGTCATACTGGAGACAGTAAACCCCTTTACTGTTTTCTGAGCGACACTGAATCCTCTGCAGGTTGTGTCGTCCACATCGCCAATTAGCCTCAATAGTCTGGAATGGAGAGAAAAACAATGAGACACAAAGACTCTCAAAATTGGTGCTAGAAAAATGCCATGAACTGGGGCTGCGGTTGGCAACATGTAACAATGGATAACTAAAATGCATAGAAATTAAGAGCAACTGATGGTTAGCAACGCAAACAGTAAGTTTTAAGTTTAGTGTAGGCAACTTTACAATTGATGGATAAAATGGTGCAGTTTCTTACCTCTATGTCTTGAATGATCTTGGGATAAAGGGAGTGATAGTAGGAGTTGGGTGGAACTTCTGATGTGCGGTTCTTAAATAGGTACTTTTCCCTAAGGGAACAATAAAAGAATGTGTTGGCTGCTTTGCATCACTCCCCCCTAACATACAAAAGTCACTTAAGGTCCAGAAAATCTCATGTTACTTCTTCATTCTTCTGTTTAACTTTACCTTGATTGAAATGACGATAAACAAGACCACACCCATCGGTGGAAGATACTCAAATCTTCTCTTTTCTCAAGCAGTTTACTTAACAGTTATTGTTTTATCACAGGCCTCTGTGTTGGATCTTACCACTGATGTCTCTCAGACAGGCCTTTCCAGAGTGGGTCGGTGCGGACCATGCGTTCAATGAGCTTCTTCCACAGCATACCCTCAGAGATGACCCGCTGCCACTCCTTACACACCAGCTCTGCCGAACAAAGCGAGCGGGCATCCAAGAACGACAGTATGTTCTCTGCTATGTGATCCAAGCCTTGGGCTAAAGAGAGGCAACAGAGTTAGCGTTTTAAAATGATTTTGCAATTATTTAATGAAAATTAAATAAAACTGTCAGTAAGCATTAGCCTGCGTAGTGTCCACACTGTGGACTGTGGTTTGGGTTAAGCTCAAGACTACCCACTGCACGCCACCCTACTCCCCACAGAACCATGCCACCTAAAGAACACTGCCTTCTAGTTTTTTACACATTTATTGAAATCCAACTCGAAGAAGTATTTGTATCAGTACACAGTATTGATGACTACACAAATAAAAATACTTACTGGTATCGGTTTTTAAAAATTGGTATCTGGACAATCCTTATGAATATTATATATTATAATTAATCTTGCTCTTGCTATGTGCATTCAAGAAGCTCATTTATAATAACCCTGCAATACATTATTTTAGGAAATTACAAATGATTAAAAAATGTAATTTATAAAAAATAATTTAAAATATTTGTGACTTCACTGCAATCCTTTAGTGCTTGGTGTTTAGTTTTTAGTGGGACTTGTACCTGGCAGCGCAGTGATAAAGTCCCTCTGCAGCATAGGTTTGAGGTAGGAGTTGATGTGACCGTGCTGATAGTGGCACATACGGGAGATCAGGCGCTCAACAAACTCCACCTGGTCTGCCTCTGACCACTGGTCAAACAGTGCGATGCAGTGTTCTTTCTCCTTCTCATAGTTTCCCTCCGAAGGACGCTTGCGGGAGCCCATCACAGGACCATTAGTAAGCTGTAAGATTAAATGCACATGCATATTGGATATTTAAAAATAGAATGTATATTATTTATGCTACTGCTACTATTTTTCTTAAATTTAGGGCAAATGTTTCAACATGTCACTCCTGTTAACCAGTCAAAAAAAAATGACGAGCCATCTGTTATCTGTCAAGAGTCTGTAACCTGCTGAGTCACTGTACAGTCACCGATATTATATAACCAATATTAGACTAAAAATGAATTTCAACATAACAGTTCCCACATTTGACAGTTTTAAAATGAGGCTGAAATGAGATTTTTTGGAAAGAAAAAGGTAACTTCACTTGAGTGGCTTAATGATACAGTTGAACAGCAAAAACACTGTGATAAATGACACATCAGTAGAGAGAGAAACATAATCAGCCTTTTCAAAAGATAGATGATTTAAAGGCTTTTTACTGGCAGGAGTATCTGGTGAGTCGACTGGCATAGTATTCTTTTACCAAATTCTAACCTTTATTTCCTTTTATATAAAGGAACCCTGCAGAAAGTGACTAAGAATTGCAGCATTAATGAAGCAAATAAACACTAGAATACATTACCAGGAAATAAAGTGGGTTTTTTGGTTTTGCTGATCACTGTGCTGCAAATTCAACATAAGACATTCAGATTCTCAATGATTTTGGAAATGAAATCCATATTAGAGAAAAAAACGAATCTGCATCTTAAATAAATGTGTTGAGCAATCGCTCTGCTGCTACACTCTGCCACAGCCTCACTCTGTATGGTTTAAAGCCATTTGCAAATGTACTGCTGCAGTCTTGTCAGTGAAAGGGAGAAAAGGAGATCGATAAAAGGAAAAATTAATATTACATTACAAGAGTGGGACAATTAGTGTGTGCGCCTGCATGCAGGAAGGGGCTTGACGTCCTGAAAGCAACTCAACATCAAGATTTCCATTACTTACAGGCAACATACGAGGCACAGATGATGGATGATGCATCATTTTTTTTTTTGCTAACTCCAGTGCTTTGGAACATGAACATTTTATCCAGGATTGACATAACTTGTTGAAAAAAATAAAAAATATATAAAACATCGGTAATTTACAGGGAAAGTTGATGAGAGAATATGAAGATTTGTCAATTTCCCTTGTACATAAATTACAGTCCAGAAAAAAAATGAATTTTTGAAGAAAAAATAAACAGTTAATATAAGTTAATGTAATAAAGGAATTCTTTTTAAACAAAAATATTTTTCAAGAACAAGTGAAGGATAAAGAATATGTCACATTGGAGGGTGCAATACATGTACAATGTGCTAAGACAGGAACAGGCCAGTTGTTGTGCAAAAAAAGACAAATCCTCAGCAATCAACATAAAAAAACAACTGCAGAAGAAATAGGAGCCGTCTATTTTTCCAACTTGAAAAAGAGAAATGTGGGAGTACAAGTTGGTTATGTTTCCTTGTCCACCTCTCTTTACTTCATGAAAGCCCAAATGCTGCCACACGTCACTTTTTTAAGACTGGAGGCAGTGGTATTATTATGTTATTGTTCTTGAGCTGTGGCTCTAGTTCAGCCATGTTTACTGAACTTCTCAGGTGACGCACTTTAGTTACAAACGTTTCATTTGGTGAAGGTATCTACATGATAAAATGTGAATGGTTCAACCAAGCCCTGTTGACAAAGAAAGCAAAGTTTTACTTTGAAATAATAAATTGTGTTTTTCTAAATTGATATTAGTTTGACGGTCAATCCTGATCCCAATCCTTCAGAGTCACATACAGAAACATGATGCATGCATGCAGTCACACCCACACACCCAGAGAACAGTGTTCTTCTTTGGCGATAGATCATCCACAAGGTTCGGTGACTCCATTCCTGATGTGTTCTGGAGGGGGAAAAAAACAAACAAAGAAAACATAAGAATTTAGTGTTTTACTCTATTTACATCTGTGTTTAAGGCACTGTGAGGACCAGGAGAGCAGAACAGATAGTGCTGCACACAGGAGTGCCACACAGACAGCCAAGGAAGGGCAACTATTATGACTTCTGAGGCGTGCGCGCACAAACACTCGTGCATACACATACGTATGAAGGGGAGGGGGGGGCACGGGAGACTGAGCACTGCAACAAAAAAAGAATTCCATGTGCTTGCTTGTCTGATGTGTAGTGGACAGGAAATTAAACTGCAGCATCTTTGGTATGTCACAAGTTGAAGCTCAGGCATGACATTGATGAAACTCAAGCCAGATAATAGCATTACTCTTTATAAGAAATATTAAAAAAAAGAGGAGCTGACCCCATCCATTTCGACTTTGACACAAGTCACAGAATGAATGCATAGAATGACTGGGGTTTATAAACTGCAAAACCATACTGTTAACCATACAATCAACTATAAAACTTTTTTAAGGGAGACAGGAAGAATTTTATTCTTGTGATCCATTCAAACAAATTCCAATATACCTCACTGAGCGTTGCAATCTGTATTTGTAATAAATGCACAAATGTTAAAAAAAAAAAAGAAATATAATGCCAGAAAAGGCATTTTAACAGAGAAAAACAAGTTAAGAATTGAGATATTCCTATTTTCTTCTTCTGAAGGATATATTATATTAACAACATTTATGTGTTGGGGAGGTCAGCTAAGGTCAACTAAGTACCCCATCCAGCTTTCTCAAACCAAAGCGTTCTCAAATACATTCAAAACTCTCTTACAACAAAACTACTACTACTTGTGACTACGTGGGCATCTGAAACACACTTAACCTGGACTGTATAATGAAAAGAATTATTAAAAAGTAATATTCAAGAAATTGACAGACACTGTCTTTACTATAAGTAATGATAAAGGTCCTGTAAATCACTACAATGAACAGTTTAATGATTGTCTTGGTGGGCCTGAATTTGGGCTGCTGACTCCATGTACTTAAGCACGGCTGTGAGAGATAGCAGCCAATTTTCAAACATCAAGATACTGTTATAGGATACCGATTCTGCTTACAAAACAAGAACGCAAAGGAAAGTAAATCACAGAGAACCATCCTGGATTTGCTCATTTTAAATAACCACTGGTGATGCTGCTTTGTAAAGAGTAGAACAAACAAGGAACACAGTAACCGTTGCCATTAAAACATAACACAGAAACAAATGGTTGGGTACCAACACAAAAGCAGACGGAACAGGAAGACAAATGTTGATGTGATGATCATGCAGACAGAACAAAGGGGAAAAAAATGGACAAACCAGGCTTAGCCAAGCAAGTAGGCAGGCAAACAAGCATGTAGGCCTCTCAGAGCCCGAAAGACACCCCCGCTGCCCCACCTTGACCCTTACACTCCCAGGTAGAGGGGGAGAAAATGTGTTACTTCTCAAAACTGGGTTTTTCTCTGGTAATCCTGAATCCTCCCCTCCCCTTACCAGCTACACAAAAGAGAATATTAAAATGCAAACTCTTTAGTGTGCAATTTTTTCATGTGGCACAAGTGCAAAATCAACATCTAGCATATTTTGGCAAAACTTGTAAAACTTATTTGTTAAGATTATAAAAGGGCAAACAGAGCTTGTAAACTAAAAGTAAGTTTCAAGCGTACAGGTTCATGAAAGCACCAGAGAAGAACCCGAGAGCAAAAGGCTTTCAACAGAGGGGAAAGGACAACGAAAGGTGAGAAGGTGAGAGGTTGAGGGGGAATGAGTAGGTACTGTGTGTAGTAAGGAGTAATGAGAAATTGTGAGGCTGGACTGAAGAAAAGTGAAGGGCGAGGGGATGACAGGGGGAAGAAGGGAAGGGGCAGGAGGTAGAGCAGCAGAATTAAGAGGAGATAGGCAGAACCTGGTTGTGAGCCCGGGTGGAGGGGATGCTCTGCAGGCACCTGAGTGCACACAAACTCTCAGCCACCGAGGAGCAGCCCAGCCAGAGAGAGCGAGGCACAGAGCACTGTGTGAAAGAGAGAGGAAGGGAGGAAGGGAAGAGGAGAACAGAGTGGACAGGGTGAGGGAGGAGGAGGGAATAGTAAAAGACCAGAGATGGGGAAGTAAAGAGAGGAGGTGTGGATGAAGACCAAAGATTATGTTTGAATGTGGATGGACGAGTGAGTGGACAGATGAATGTAGTAAGGAGTTGATTAGGAAGAGACAGGTGAAGTGCGGGAATGTGTAAGAATACAAAAATGATGTGCAAGTAAATCAAGGGGGTTTGGTTTGAAATTGAGAGGAGGTGAGTATGTAATTATCAAGGGTGAGGAGAGAAGAAAGGGGGAGGGTGGGGGATAGTGAGGGGAAAAACCAGTATTAGAGCTACACACACATTGGCACAGTGAGCGCAGGAACACACACACCTTCACACACAGGATAAAGACTGATAAACATACACACAGAAGCATCGTTAGACATGAACTGGGTAGAGATAGGTTGGAGAGGGAGGTGCAATGGAAATAATTGTCAATTGTGGCCACTTTTATTTTGAGAGCAACTCAACACACTGTTCTGCCATCTCCATTCTCATGAGTGGTTAGTGAATAACAGTAAGACAAAAAATAAATAAAAACCACATAGATAAAACAGACAATTTTTCGGTATGAAAGTTGTAGGACTAGCGCTACATTTTTAAACTATGCTATAACCAGGGTAAGGTTTCAATACGATATCAATTTCAATATATAAGACACAAATTTGTTCCTTTCTGTCTTCTGTCATATATATTTGCATTTATACAGACAAATGTTTAATAGGCAGCTTAAAGCTCCCTGGTAAGCCCATGATCTGAACATGTAGATCCAGGTTTCCCTTCCTTCATTTTAAGTCATCTAGATAAAAGAGAAAATAGACAATGGTATGTGAATGGGAGTGTAAATATGAGCAGACACAGCATATGATAGAAGCTCGATTGTCCAATAGGAGCTGGATCATGTTGCATTAGTGTGGTATTCAATGACTATATACTGGTCAGCATCACTGAAAAATCATTTAGGATTCCTCTCATATCAATTACTCATATTGGCCAAGCTCACATACCACTGTTCATTTCGTTCATCTTCTTACCAAATTTTGGTTTACAAAACATTACAATATCCAGGTTAAGAGTTGAAACCTGTGATATCAACCAAATAATTGTGAAGAAAATGGAAGTAAAATAAAAAAAGAAACCTAGTTTACATCGATTCAAATACTGCAGAATATCCTCGAGCAGTTGCAGTCTTTTCTTCACCATGGGTTATGGAAAACTGACCAGTTCTTGAATACACAAGCAACAGTGTCTGCTTAAACTGTGGACACTTAAATATTTAGTGATCTTTAAATGTGGCTTAAATTATCAATGACCACAAATGTATTGACTGAAAGAGTATAACCGACTGCCTGCTAGAATGAATAAGTCTTTATTTTATAGTGTTAATTAATTCGACTCATGGAATTATGAATGACAAAGTAGAAAGAGTTCAGTTTACAACAGCAGCTGCCTCCATGTCCCAATTAATATATCTCGTCTATATATAATCCACCTAAAGTGTTGAGGATGTTATTTTTATTACACATACGTTCAATCTATAGTCCGAAATACAATAGTATCGATTTGTAAGAGAAACGGAAGGATGTTTGTCGCTTCTGATGAGGAACAAATACCAACACAAATATAAATTCGCAGCAACGTTTATTAAGGTGAATACTAATCATAGACACCAAATGACAATAGGTAGAAACTACAAAAGTCTACTATTCGACAACCTTGACCCCTGTAATATTGTTAGCTTTTGGGGCTAACGTTAGCCTAGCGTCTTAGCTTTTCGTGTTGGCTAATCTTTTCACAAGATAACCTATGATAACCGTTGACCAAATGTGAATCTATAGGGATGGAAACGGTCTGTCTAATAAACAGAAGAGATCCTATCACCAAAGCAACTTGACAGTTTACGCATGTAAATACCTGTCAAATAACCCTAGCGTTACAGAATGCTAACCATTGAGCTAATTGCTACCTCGTTTATGTGAATGAAAAGACACTTCCTTCTACGCACTTTAAAAATATAAGCGGCACGTTGTATTTGCCCTTTTTATGCGTCGTTGAGCTGTGGGAACAGGTCACTTCGACTGGATACCACTTAGTATTTATAACGCCCTAGCAAAGCGTACATATTAAAACATACCCGCGAATTAACGAGGTTCATCGCCTTCTAGGCAGTGTTAGCTGAATGGCTAAATTATCCGACAGGGCCCAGTTAAAGTGGCGCAGCGTCACCGCAGTGAACGCTACACCAAGAACCCCCGGCTGTCTCCGGCCATCACCAGTACTTACGGCTTTGTTTTTCCTCTATTGACTACGATTTTAAGCCACAAACCACAAACTTTACTATTATTAAATTGTATTGTATGGGTCGCGTTAAGCTAGAATGCTCATATACAAAGCCTTTTAGAGAATTTGTACCGATAATTTCAGGCCCTCCCTCTGATTTCTGGTCCCCCTCCTTTCTCTTCCACCCCTTTCCCGACACAAGCCTCCTCAGCCCGTTACATCGTCGAGTCGACCCTCGGCACTTCACCAAATTTAAAGACAACCCCCGACCACTTCGGGTGCTACAAATGCTACATCGAAACGATTCTTACCATCAGCTCCAACGTTTTGTCCTCTATCTCCGGCTCCATGTTGACGATCCCCCCCGAAACTCGCTCTGAAAATGGAAACCCAGCCCTGCGTCGGCGGCCCGCAAATGCAGAGACGTCATTCACTTCGCTCAACCACACAGCTCCGGTAGGGCAGTGTCAAAGGATGGGTGGGGGATGGGAACGCCCATGCTGCAAGGAGCCGTCGCCGATTGGACGGATTTCGTTGAAAGGCGGGTACTTCTGCTGCTTAGCCTTTTATTGATTGGCTTACCATGCTACCAAGGCTTCCCCGGTGACTCCCCCAAACAAAAGGGCAAATGGATGAAGATACTGTTGCTATCCTGAAGAGGAATACACTAAGGTAAAATCAATCATCCGCATAGCAATGGCCTGCTGCAGGATGTTTTGGTACGTCATGCGTGATCAAAGGATGGGTCAATTGTAATTTGCAGCGAAATCATTGCCAAACACGCGTGCGTTTTTTAATGCGTCTTATTTCAATTTGGCTCCACTTTTAAAAATGACAAGTCTTAATCTTATTTAAAAATGTACAAAGTCAGTTACAATAACTTTTACATATAAAAACTTCGCAGAGAGGTTCCCAACTTAATTTAAATTTTCCAGATATTGCCATCATGTGTCTTTTACTAGGAACATTACAGTGCTGTGTCTGTGGTTGCTCAATTAACAGAAATACTTAAAAAAAAAGGTTTATACAGTTAGGTTATGTTCAAAAGATGATGTGGTACCGGTTTGAGCACCAGTCTTCACAAATTGTTTTCATGTGGAGCTTGCATGTTCTTATTGTGTATGGGTTCATGCTAACAGTAAATGAAAACTGGGGGTTTTAAATTGAACATAGAAGTGAATGCAAGAAACAATGAAACAGTACAACAACTACACTCTACATTGTTAACGAAGACATGTCCAGGATGTACTGTACACCATCTTTGACTGACGTTGGAATTTACTATAGCTTTACATGTGCACATGAACTCCTAGAAAATATATGGACAATTAATCTAGTGCAATTTAGCTAAAACAGGTGTTTGAAAAAAGGATTTTAATTTATCTTCAATTGTAATTCATTCTTTTACCAGCATGTGCTCTTACCTTGAACCATTTTTCCAGATGCCAAATCAACTTCTAGATGACCAAACTGTACTACATTTAATTACTATGTACTCTTAAGTATTAATTTACCTAATTAATGAAATTGGATGGTATTTGGTTAAGCATTTAAATACTTGAGATTTCAATGCAACATAACATATTGTTGAAGAATCAAATTACTTTAAACGTAATACATAAAAGAATCTAGTAATTGAAAAAAAAAAAAATCATTAAGAGTTGGTGTTATCCCCTTGAAGCAGTTATGCATACTGATCATTCACACAAGACTCACATTTTCTCACATGTCTGGAAAGCAGACAAAAAGGTCAGTTTTCCAGGAACAGACTTTACACAAAGGATAAGGTTGAGACCACAGCAGATAAGGAGGTATAAATGGTTTTCAGCAGTTCAAATTTAATACTTTGTCCCCCTTTCTCTACAGAAACCCAGGTAAAAAAAATCCCCCACTCTCAGAAAATACCACAGCAGCAGTTACCAGTAAAAAATGAAATGCAAAAAATAAAGAGAAAGCATAAAAGGGAGACGGGAGAGAAAGGGTAGGATCATGACGAGGCAAGAGAGGAAAATAGAATTTTTAGATGTGAGGTGCAAGTCCAAAGTTCAACTTCATCTGGGCTGGGATGAGGAATCTGGGAACTTGCTGTTGTGTTCATTCAAAATGGAGGGAGGAGGAAAAAAACATCAGAAGTGAGTCAAGTCCAATCCAACTAGGGGAAGGAACCAGCACTCTAAGGCAGGGATTTATTCAGGAAGGGCTTTCTTCCCTCTCTGGATGAAAGAAAATCACACTCCTCTTCAGCCTGCAGGTCATTTTTGTCATGTGTACAGGTGAAATGTATGTGCAAGTTTGTGTACGCAACAGGTAAATTGGAAGGTGTGTCTGTCATATATATGGTCAACACAGTTGCACCTCTCACTTGCTGCAAGAGAGGTGGTATTTTTCTTTCCTTATTTCTTCATTCATTCCTTTGCTTTTCATTTTTCTCCCAATGTCAGTCCTCGACTACCTAGTAGTCATCCAAATCAAAGAACTCATCGTCCTCTCCTTGATACTCCATGCCCTGGAAATCCACCCTGTACCGTAGGATGCCTATGGAAACACAAAGATGATTCATTAACACAAGTTAATTGTTCCCACAATAATAAGCAATAACCGGTGATTTATGTCCTGAATTAAATGTTTTGTGCTACTCTTGCCACTTGCTCAAGAGGTTTAACATCCAAAGAAAATTACAACAAAGCCAATGTCCCAACTTGATATCTAATTGGTCAGCGTATGTGGGAAAGCGAGGTAGATTTTATATAATGGGGTCACCATCTTTTCTTTTATTATGCGTTTTCCAAAAAAACCCAACTTAAGAAAAGAACAGAACTTAACAGGCCGTGCCTGTTTTTAATCAGAAAGCACAGCAATTGCATATCACATTATGCTATAATAACAGCTTCAGCAGCTTTGACTGCAGATGTTCCTTTCTCTGGGCTCACTCTGCTTTGCCTATGATTATATGTTAACAACTAGTGACTCAGAGTGGACTCGAATGTCCTAAGTGGAATTCATCAAAAGACATTAAAAATGAAATGAAAGAATGAAATGAAACCTCTGAATAGGTCAAAGGCTTCTGTTTTAGGCATTGAGCCAAAAATGAATAATAGCAGTGGCGAAATGTGTGTGTCTGAAAAGTCAATGATTGGCCGTTAATTTGTGTCCTAGTCTTTGTAACTTGAGCTAAATATACATTAGATTTAGTTGCTACTTAGCCATGTACTTTAGTACACATTAAAGTGAAATTTACAAAAAGGCCAGATGATAAGTGACATATTATCCCCTTTACCTCACAAAACATCTATAGATAAGCTTGTTGAGTGTTGATATTTTGAAAAGCTTTTGGGATTTAAGGTGGAGGCAAGTGGTATATTATATTTGTGGTTTTCAGCTCTACTACTATATTAAAGGATACTCTCAAAGCCAAGGGAATTAAAACTACTGAATTTAGTTAGCACTAGGGTAGTAATTATATTTACTATATATAAATGTAAAATACCAGAGGATGTGGCTAGATAAACAGTTCTTACCCCCAATGCCTCCAAAGCCCTTGACAAACTGGGATCCTTCCTGGCTTTTATCTGTGACTATCTCCAGCGTGGCTCCAAATTTTTTGTAGTTGTTGGCAAACCACTCAAGCAGTGGCATGCTCTCAATCAGTTCATGTTCTTGGCCCGTCTGGAAGGATGACCAAAAACACCAGTTAAAAAACAAAAAACTTCAGGTGGTGTCTTAAAAAAACAGGGAGCGTGTCCTTTCTTTTGATACTTACCTCTTTGTCTGTGAAGTGAGACTTGTCTTTCTCCTGCTCTGGCGTTAGGTACAACGTCTTCTCATCTAAAAATGAGGAGGAGGAACAAAAATATTAAGGCATTGTTGTGTACTATTGACACACGCTGGCTATTCTGAACGACAGGAAACACACTTTGGTTACCATTTTCTGCTCCGTTACTCTCTGCCCCGTGAACACGAAGAATATATCTCATAGTGTCTAAGTTCTCATAAACTATGAGGATCTCCACTGCTCCCATTTCCAAGGCTTTGAGTGTGTCCTCCACACCAAAACAGTACTTCCCCGTATCCTGGCTGATCTCATCAAAGTACCGCCCTTCAGAGAAGAACAGTCAATTAGAGAAAGGAAAAAAAACATTTTTCCTCAAGTCAAGACATTAAGGTACATTTATCGGCAACAACTCACCTATGAGCTTCTTCTCCTGGATGAACTTAACATTAGAGAGAACCTCTGCTGAGAGCTCGATTGCCTGGTTGAAACCATTTTCTCCACCATAGGAGATGTCCACCAACTTCAGCACCTTGGCTTGTAACCTCTGTGGGGAAAAAAAACAAACAAATAAATGGGAGAATTACAATAGATGATTAATTATTAATAGATATGTGTCCATAAAATTAAAAGCTACAGTAGGACCAGTTTGTTATTGTTGTTCCATAATCATATGCTATTGTTAATATACCAAGTTATACATCAGCGTTTGTATGTAAAATGCCAGACTTACTGGGTCAAACATGTCAGATTGGCTCAGCTCAGTCTTAAAGTCAGCCGAACCAGCCAAGACCATTCCTGCAACATTGACTTTGTCGTTGGACACAAAGAGCTGCACAGCCGTCTCAGCCACTTTTCTAACATAGTTGTGTCTCTTCTCCATTCTCAGACGAGCAAAACGAAGAGCAGACTGTCCTCCTCTTCCTGAGAGATTCATTTAAAAAAAACAAGAAAAAAAGAGGAAGGCATACTTAAAAATCCATCTTCAGCACCAAAGCCTACTTTCAAATGACACTAAAAGCCAAGTGTTGCAAGAGCACGGTGGGTCAGTACCGTGTTTCTTGGGTAGGTCCACAGTGAATTTGTGCAGCACCTCCCGGGTGTTGCCCTGCAGTGTGCCAAACAGTGCCCCACTACCGTCGATCACAATAAAGCCAAACTTACTGTCATCAGAAAGCAAGGCTGTCAATGCCTGTGTTAAGAGAGTGTGGAAGAATTGAGTGATACTGTCACCAAAAACATGCGAGAAAGAGATTCCCAAACTGTCCAAGAGTTTACAGGGGTGAAAAAAAAAATCTGTACCAAGATACAGATGGCAATAAGCTCACCTCAGTGTGGAATTTGTTGTCACAGAGATACAGGGAGGTGTTGATTGGTTTAAAAGGCTCAAAGTCGATGTTGACTTTCTTCTCCTTGCCTTCCTCTGTCACAATGGTGCCACAGTACACGACCAAACCATTGGGTGGCACTGAAAAACAAAATTTCATTCATGAAATGAGAGAGTAAATGAATGCAGTGATAGGCTTAGGGACAACAGCGTTTGTACAGACACATAGACAGTGTGTGATTCCTGAATGAGGTTTGACACGATATTCAATGAAATAGTAAAACTGGACTTAGAATAAATTTCAATTAACAACTGTTTATCTGGATAGTTTCTCCTTCTGGTAATTAACAATAATGTGCTCTCCAATGTTACAACTATGCAAATTAAAGAGCAATAATTGATGCAAACAAATACTTAAAAATAGAAAATTAGTGCGTCAATAAGCAAAAAGTTTTGTTTTTCTACTTTGACTAAAGTAAAAACAACATCAAACTAAGCGAACTTAATTTGATATGCATATAAATATGAGGACATTTTTACATTCTGCCTTACCTTATGGAAATGGCGAAAAGACTGTATTTCGTAAAATCTTACTAAGTGTATACTTAACTATAAACTGGAGTTTAAAGTACTTCAAAAATACAATGTGAATACCTCCTGTTAGCAAGAAGGCAAAGATGGAGTTCTTAACACACAAGACTTTTTGTACTCTCATCCTGACTTTGCAAGAGCTCAAGTTTACACTTTACTACTTTGGGTGTTCCCTGAAGATAAGGTGATAATTACTATGTTTTGACACCCAAGTTATCAATTCGTTCAGGATCTCACAGCAATGTCTCAGAGTGGGCCTTGGTTATGACACATACCCTTGTTGTAAAGTTTTAGTCTTTGTTGTACAGAGGTGATGGCCCCGAGAACAGAGAGCCTGTTGACTCGGCTCTTGATGTTGGAAGCAGTGCCGAACTCATCGGCTAACATTTTGGCCACTCTGGATATCTGGTCCTTGGGAGGGATGATAAGCGAGATCATACTGGTGCCGTTACTACAACAGAGAAAATTATAAAGAAGCAATAAGTGAAGATACACAAAGGAACTTGTGATGCACAACTGTGTGGGACAAATAGTCTGAATAGTCTCAGAAGCAACCCCTTACAATCCACACATTCTGTAAATTCACAACACTCCCTAACAAGCGATCACCGGAACAAGTCGTGGACAGCGAGTGAAACAAAGTGTTCCCTTCACAGTATACAATCTCTGCCCTTGAAACCAAGGACTTGGTTTAAGTTGCGCTGCACAATACTGGTGTACTCCTCCCGTCAGAAAACAAAGCAGAGAAGTGCCGGTTGTAATTACACAACACTCACACTTGGCGCAGGTATGGGCAGCAGGCTGAATATAGGGCAAATGGTCAATAATGTGTGGCATGGCAGACGGTGTAGCACAGGACAGCAAATTATGCGCAACATTAGACGACCTGCTGTCGCCACGAGCTACATCAGCAACAGCCATATTACACATGTCGTCTTTGATATATCAGCAAGGCCACAGAGTCCCAACCAGCAGCTACATCTGATCTGTTCATTCAAGTGACCACTCCGATCACACAAAGCGCTCGTGTAGATTGAGCAGATGGGCTTTCATGGACAACTTGGTTACTGATTTAAAAAATGAATCATCGTAAACGTTCAGTGTTTAAAGCACATCTAAAATGGTCAGACATGGGTCTTCTACATGTTGAATACGCCTCAAGCATGTGGAAGTGCAGCAGTAAGCTAACCGGCCTTCCATTGCTATCAACGTGCTTTCTCATGAGGAGGCCTCTTTCTACACATGACGTCTATTACTGACTCTCGTTAGCATCGCGGCTAACGAAGCCTTTACTAACTTTCAACTAAATTGAGAATGAAAGACAGCACACGCCCCGTTGTCAGGGGTGACACATAACCGTGGTCACATCAAAATACACACTGTTCTAAATAAACACACTGTTCCCGGCTGCAAGACTAAAATGCGACAGCAGTTAGCACTTAGCTTTCAGCGGGCAACGTTATCTAAGCTAAGCTAACCACTCCCAAATTTGCCCCCTTCTCCTGCGAACTCCAGCTGTTTCGCTGTACTAAATTCACACCGTTATCTAAAACTTAACGCCCACAGACACAGCATTGATATGAGGCGTTAATCGATTGCTTACCCACGGGCAGCTTCCAAACTTTTGATCAGTTTCTTGATTTTCCATATCTCCACGTTCCTGTCCGCCGCGCTGGGGTCGTCCGCCATCTTTCTGCTGTAGTCGCTTCAGCACCTGAAAATAGGGGGAAAGGTGGTGAAAACACAAGTAGTAAAACAACTAGCAATCTAACGGACCAGTGATCACAGTCCCATTTGAGAGGCGAGATAAGTGGCTAACTTTTTGGACTCGATACCTCTCTCCAAAGCAGCGACACAGTGCCCGTACCTGATCCGTACTGGCAGCCGGCCTGACCGTGAGGAAAGGACCGTACCCGGCCTCACTACCAGAACAGTGCGCGGGGAAAACGAGGCCTACAATCTGCCAGGCCCTAGCGTCCACCTTGTATTACTCTAAAACGACCCACTTTCTATTGGCTCCTCTAAAATATCGACCAAAACTGACTGACAGCTTTACGTGAGTCAATGTTAAATAGATCAGTAGCGTACCCACCTCGGACAACTCCGCTCCGCTCTCGATCCACTCAGTCGGGTCGGTGGTCCGAGGAATGACGTTGCCTTCCCGACCGGTTTCTCTATCCTCCACAGGCTACGCGTGGTGCTATCGACGGGGCTCACATGTGGGAGGTGGTTAGAGCAGTGGCGTTCACTTCCTGGAAACCACCTAGAAACCAATGGCATTCATTAGCCGGTGTGTCAATCATTTCAGCTTAATCAGTTATTGGACAGAATGGAAACGCGCCGCTGACGCTAGGTAGGCAACACAGGACTGTGGACGTTGTAGTTTAAAAAAAGTTTCAAACGTGACAGGCTGTTTGAATCGAAAAAGTGATTCGAACTCACTACAACTGTTGTGATCAAGATAGTTTTTTAAAAATGTTATTACAGAAGAAGTAATTGATATTTGTTCAATGAAATTGATACATTCGCAAAGGATTTGCTGACCAGGATATATTCTTTAAGGAGGTGTTTTTTAAAGTGAGTTGTGCAAAATATCTACAGCACAAATGAAAATCAAACCCAGTAAATATGTAGGTGATGAACCAAGTGGTTCGTATGGAAATTTTGTTTTTTCTCAGAAAACTAATGAAGCTTACTGCAGATTTGTGGACACAGTTTAAGATGTATTTTTATTCATCTTCTAGCAATCATTTTGTGAGGATGTGGTACAACCGGGGCAGTTCACCAGTCCCTGGGTGAGTGGTGAACTTGACAAGAGTGTTATCCATAAAAGTGAGTCTTATCCTGCATGACAATTCTTGGACCAACTGTCCAACCTTTTTGAAGTTAAGATAACAGCACAAAATGATTTTGCCCTTGTGTAGGGGTCACCACTGCTGGTTCTGAGCTAGATGCAATTGCTGCTGTAATGTTTCACCATACCCTGGGCTTTGGAGCAGAAATCGGTGATGACTTGAAAGAAGTCGGAAGTCAGGCAGCTCATGATTATTAATTTTATTTAAAAAATTCAGTTGGGATCAAAAAGAAATAAAAAGAAAATCTGCTATAAAAGAATGAAAACGCACTTTTCACTTTTACAAAAGTCGACACAACAACAAATCATCTTTGTAATCATCACCTTTTAGTGTAATCTGAGCTGTCAAGAGCTTTGGGGTAGTATTTATGACATAGGGCTGGGGATATTGCCAGTTGCACAAATTGTCTGTGATTTCCCACTTCAAATGTAAAAACTGAATAAACCATATTCAACTTTTTGGCTCATGAACAAACAGACAACTTTGGACCAAGTCATTTTGGTTGAAACCCCCTAAACTGGTCAGAATAAATGGATCTTTTTTTGACCTGATGTGTTTCCCAAGGTAGAAAAACTGAAACTGAAACGATTTTAGATCAAATTCACCATTCATCAAACAAGAGTAGGAGGCTGGAGAATTCTTGCTGGGAAATTATGGGAACCTTTGGAGGAGTTCTGCCCATGTAGACAATTGCATGAGCTACATTAAAACCAAAAACATTATTCAAACTATTCAAAGAATTCCTAGTCATGTTGTTTCACCAGCACATTCAGAATTTTAATATAAATACTCTATTGTAAAGCAGCCTACAACAATCTGTTGTCAGGTTGTTTGTAAAACAAATTTCATAAAAAAGACTGTTAACTGTTTCAGAGCCTATAACTACACACTTTTTTAAAGTAAACACAAACGGCCTAGACTTCTGTGGTTGCTGGTACAGCTCTCAAACTGCTGACTGGGCTCATTCCGACCAGACAGAGGCCTGTGGGATGTGACTAATTTTGCAAGGTGGAAAATGTCTAACAGCATGTAGGCAGATCAGTCATAAGGTTACCTTATTGGTTGTGAGATGTGCTGTAGAATGAAGACGATAATTACTGGGTAAAAATGATGTGAGATCACTGCCTAAGCCTAATATTACAGTTTTAGTGTCAGAAAATATAGGGTGACTATTGTTGAGGCCTTTTCAGTTGGTAAGTCCGCAATGCAACAAGTAAAAGACAGATATTTTGTAGATGTGGCGTGAATTGGATTTGGTTGCCCTGAGAACAGAATTCACAGAAGTGAGAAAGCTTTAATTACTAAGAATAAGTAAATGTTTTCTTCTGCCAACATATTTTAGAATGGCACTAGAATTTGCTGCATTTGATATTTCTATATTAGAAAAACAAATATAACTTAGCTTACATTCAAATAAACTGAACCTTTCAAACATGGTTGGCACAACTGCAGACATCAGCAGATGTTAATTCAAGAAAAACAATACAAAGATTGTGCTGAATTCAATATGTTGCTTTTTAAATTCCTATATTTTTGAGGGGAAAAAAACTCCTGCCTTTTCATACTCTTTTCAGACTGCAGATACCTTGGCCCTGAAGATCTCCTCAGTCAGGAAACTTCAGAACTAACATCTGCAACAAGATGTAACTCACTGAGTTATTGACATAATCACCATCACGAGTCCAAATCCCAGACGTCACAACATGTAATGCTTTCATCTTGATTCTGACCTTTGTTCGGCAGTTACTTTGATTTCCTACACTGGAACATCCTTGGCCTTTGATTTGTGCCATTTATTTCTGCGGGATCTCCTTTTAAAGTTGTACCATTTCTACATACACTAAGACGAGTTATAAATCACCTAACACCCAGGTACAGCCCTGCAAGTTTTGGTTAAAATGAAATGTAACGAAATCCGATGTAATGTATATTTGAATGTATAAACAGTATGGTATAACAAAGACAAGGAGCTGCCTCTTCCATTCCTGTGAGGTTTACAAAACCCTCAAAACAACGTTTTCTCATTGAAGCAGTGGACTTCTTTTACTGTAAGGCTAGTTATATATTTAGTTTTTGAATCTCTTTACTAAATATTCTTTCAGGCTAAATTGCCCACAGGAATCTATTGGAAGCAACAGGGCACAGAATCCCAGCTGTGTTTATGTACTTAGGAAAACACATTACCTCCATCCCGGAGGGCCTTCACAGTGGGACACACCTTAACACAGCCAGTACAAGCAGTCGAGAGAAATACCTTCACAGCACAAGCAGCGGAGTTTTCCTGGGGAAATGTATGTGTTTTTGCAAATTGTAACTGTTCGTATGAACCTGATCCCCGTCATCAATTACGGCCTGAATAGAACGTGAAATGAACATAGCCACCTAACTGCAAATATCAAGCCACAAAAAAACCCTAAGGAAAGAACCCTTCAGAATTGAAGAAGCCTCTTAGATGAGAGGTGAAATGCTGCCCTATATTGATGCCCTGTAACAGTCTGTAATGCTGGCTGACATCTGGTGTTTAAAATGGTGTTCTGTATAGTTAGCAAATGCAGAGACTTTACATATTTTATCTGCAGTTAGGAGGCTACAGCCAATATAATCTAACTGAAACAAATGTACCAAACCAAACCGAACCATCTGTATATAAACAACGAAAAATAAAAGTAGAGCCTGCTGGTTTTGTGTTATCTTAAAATAACTTAACATTTTTAGTCATGTCTGCCGAACTTCTGCGAAGTTTTCCCCCTTTCTCATGTAGTTAAAATAATGTGTTTGAGGTTTAAATACAAAAAATATTTTTACAAAGGCATTCCACACAAATCATGTACACTATATATTTTTACTGTGCTTTTTTTTTTTTTTTTTACTAATTTTTATACCAACTTTGAATCCGGGGAATAATTAAGAACTCCAGATACTTGTGATATATTTTCTTAAAAGACATATATTCCAATATAGACCACTAGATGGTAGCATTGATTAGTGCAAATTAATAGTCTTGCAGCCTTCTGATCGACCAGTGCAGGGACAGGGTCCTGCTGGAGTTCTCTTTCGCTTTCTCTCTTTTCCTGTTTTTCTATTGCTCTGTGGGACAATCACAGCTGTGTCGCGCTGTGTGTTTGACGTACTGTGACACGCAATTTGTTAGGCTTCATTAGTTATGCTGGATAGGAGTCAGCGTCTTCGTGATTGTTTCTCTCGACAAACATCTGCTTGCGCGTGAAGCAACAGGCGGGATTATCCCTGTGGTATTGCCCGCTGGATTAGTGGAAGGCGGTGGGTGCACTTTCTGTCAGAATCTGGCAATATCACGACGGCTACAACATGGACAAAAGTGATATGGCAGCACCGGGCTGCCGTGCACATTGTCAAGCATCAGCTCCACTGCCAATTCATCACCATCTGTCGACTATCAAAGCTGTAATGATGTGTCTCTTGGAAATGGATGGCTCACGCTGTGCAGTGGATGGGAACTGTTCAGGCCGGTGCTTCATTTCACCTGGCTGTCACACACCCAGCCATCGCAGGAGGCACTGAGGGTTGACAGGTTGTTGAATCTCCTGGGTCGTAGTGAGTCATAAACTAGGCAGGGAACCAAAAGACAATGAGGGCCTGTGTGGGGTGGTGGGGCATTACAAACAAAAGCACCAGTATTAGTAAAAAACATTTAATCAATTAGTTGATTTTTGGGTTTTAGTTTTATACTGCATTCTCTTTTCAGACACATGGAATTCCTTTTAATGCCTAAATCACTCCACTGATATAAATATAAATGTCACTATGCTTTTATTAAACATTTTGTATTTTTTTAAAATATATTTCTCTATTCCAAGTACATTTACTATTTTCTACTAAGTATCAAATGTTTTTGATCGTGATTCAGATTTCCTTCTTGAAGACACTAACGTTGGCTTACTTTAAAAAGTCACTTTTACAAACATTGACCTTATTTCCCTTTTTTTTCTTCCCTGTAAATAAAATTAAAGGTCTTGGCTTTGCTTTTAAAATGTCCCATATACAACTTCACTTGAACTTTAGACGTCAATTTGTTCAATTATACTTATACTTACATTTTCATGCTATTGCTGCAGTGTGTATATTCAACTGCTCTCTGATGGATGGACTCTGCATTGTGT